TTTAATCAGTTTGGATTTAGTGTCATTTAACAGTCAAATGATGGGGAGTCCGAAAATATATCTTCATTAAAACGTGTTACATACACACATACATATCGTCGTTTAAAGTGCAAAACCGCGTATCAACAAAATGCAAAACCGCGTATCAGCCAAATGCAAAACCACGTATGTGAGGTTGCATAAATTATTTTTTTTAGAGAGTAAAAACACTCATATTTCAAAATGGTTCTCTTTTTTATAAAGAAATCGCATATCTGGATAGTATATTTCAGGACGAATTGATAAGGATTGAGCCAAGAGCTTGTGTGAGCAAATCCAATTTTTGGTAGCCAATGTCAGTTACGCGGTTTTGTGCTCTAAACGACGATATGCAGTTAAAAAATTAATATCTACTTACTTCTAAAATTCCGCAGTGACCTCACTTTGTAGAAATCTAAAAAAAGAACAGAAATATGTATGCATTAAAATTATGGTTAAGATTGATATAGTTTAGCAATAATGAAACTTGTTTAATTCATCAGCAAATTATTTTGCGTTGGATAATGGAACAAGTTCTCTTCATGGTATATCGAAGCGAGCTGGGTAAAAGTTTCATCATAGAATTACATTTATGGAAAGTGCAAAAAAAAATTATATTCACCTTCATTTCCATATCCTGTTGTCAAATTTGCATCCACTAATCTGCAACAAATAAGCATGGTATTTAATTTCTTGTATGCCGCATGATATTATACAATCATACATATGTACATAGCATTTATGCGATGCTTTATTTTCTATTCATATTTTTCAAGATTATCACCCCTATTGCGAATGTCGACTGGCAGTAGATAAACGACTATTAAGCGACTATCGATTAGCGATGCTATTGCGAGTGTCGCTTAGTCGCTCAATTAGCGACTGTGAATACTTCTTAATCGCTCATTCTTCTATTGCTGTTTTTTAGTCGTTGGAGTTTGCGTTTATAAAATTTACATAAGAAAGTGGTACTATAATGGATAAAAAGTAAGTCAATTGAACTGGAAGTTGTAAAAAATTGTGAAATATACATATGCATGTATGTGTCTGAATTACAGATCAAAAATTATAAGCAACAAAAGGCAACTTGCGCGGTTGTTCGTACTGATGCAGGAGAGTGAAGACATAGGCAAAGGAATTTCCGGAAAGAATAGGGTAGGAAGCTCCGCTTCTATTGGAAAAGATACATATACAATATTTCTTGTGCATATAACTCCGGCTACGCCATCCAGTGTTTTTGCGCAGAACCAACATCAAAAGTTTATACAAAAAAACTGCATAAGTTATTAATTGACTAGTGCTCGGAAATTTGAAATCTTTATTTTAAATTAAAGTTGAATTCTTTCAATACACTTGTTATGTTGTTATGTTACAATTTTTAAACTCGGGTCACGCGTTTGGACACAAAAACCCAACATCATTGTACAAAAAACTTAACCGTACCGTATTTCTTAAACTTCCATAAAGTTTATTAATGAGGAAAACAGCTTTTCCTGCAAATCATGTAAAGCCTAAAAACTGTGAAGCATCGGGAACGCAACTTCTATTCATAAAACTCACACGTGTACATACACCTTCAAAGTCGAAGGGATCCGACGAATCTCGCAATTCCCTCCTTGCTTTAGCTAACTCTACTAATCTATTAGCTTCCGCATCATCTTCCTCATCACTAAACCATATTTCAACTGTGTCCATTTTTTAAATTTTATAATAAAAGCAATTATTTTAAAAATGATGTAAATAAAACACTCAAGAAACAAATGTAAACAAACAAACAGCTGTTTGCAATTCTGTCAACCATTCACAATAGTACAAATTTTTATCGATCAAGTTACACAATAGCAAAATAAAAGATGATCGACTCGATCGACAAATTTCTATTCTACTGCCAGTCGACACTCGCAATAGGGGCCTATATCGTCGTTTAAAGTACAAAACCGCGTATCGTCATTCTGCAAAACCGCGTAACTGACATTGGCTGCCAAAAATTGGATTTGCTCACACAAGCTCTTGGCTCAATCCTTATTCATTCGACCTGAAATATACTAGCCAGAAATGCGATTGCTTTATAAAAAAGAGAACCATTTTGAAATACGAGTGTTTTTACTCTCTAAAAAATATTTTATGCAACCTCACATACGCGGTTTTGCATTTTGTTGATACGCGGTTTTGTACTTTAAACGACGATAGACATTATTAACATTACAAAACGTAAGGGATTAGTATTATGTCTGAGAGGAAATAGGGATTATTTCAGAAATTTAAATTTGCGTTGGTTATTGGGACATTTATCTTCACTATACATCAAAGCGAGCTGGGTCAAAGTTTCATCATCCAATTAAGTATAAATATTTAGCATAAAATAAGTTACTTACCTTAAAAAACATCCAGTAGCAAGGTGACATCATATTAATTTATCCAAACCTGCAAACAAAATAAAAGCTTGATTAATACTAATGTATTGGAAACCCTAAATATATTACATACACTTGAAATCAGTTCTACTATCTAATTTTGTAAAACTCACATATACATATGTAGATTCAAGTTACAGAAAAGTTATCATCAAAAATTGGTAATTGTTAGAGGTTTTGACACTTGCTTACCTATCGCCATATGGTCATTATCAGACACTAGTTCTTATTTATCCCGATGTGATTGTTATCTGTAAACAAATGAAATCCTTCATTATTCTTTCAGCTTTTAAAAGTAAATGCAGTTCACGCTTTTTTTTATCAGAGTTTAGTATACATCAATGTTTTTTCAAGAGTAGCAAATAATTCGAATACATCATGAAGAAATATAAGGAAAACCTGCCAAATAATATATTAATACTAACCTTGAAAACTCATAAAAATCCACAGGCTTAGTTAAATACCGAAATGAGTTCTCACCAAATCCTATCTGTGAAAAAAAAATAAAAAATTTTAAGTATAGATGATAAAAGTATTTAGTATGCAGTTTCCATTGCATTTCTTGTGGAACCGAATCAGAATTTAATGTCATCAAAGTGCTTTCAAGAGTAGCAAATAATAAAAGATGTACATCACGAGTTTCACAAGAAAAACAAAGCATCACATTTTTTAAATATTATTCACCTTCATTTTTAACACAGCATAACCAAACGAGAACTCCAAGAGTCACTACAAAGAAGAAGTAACAATTACTAACTGTAACAGAACAAAGCATTTATTTCTAGTTTGCGCTATATCAGCAAGCATTTGACATCAGTTTATTAAAATCAGCGACGAAAAATATTGAGAACATCATTTAATTTAGCACAAACTTGAAAGTCTGTTCATATACATACCTTTGCAAGTCGATTGTGATTTTATCCAGTTCTCTCTGCGTAGGGTAGAATACTGCAACTGAAAAAGATAAAAGAAATATACGAAACGCCTTCCCTTCCTTCACTGCCACATATGCAAATAAATATAAGCCAATATTATTTTTTATGCAAAACTCCCATCCGCGAGTTTTGTGCATGTTTTCTTTCCTTTGCATCTTCTACATTAAAAAAATGAATGTTGTTGAATTCAATATTTGTTTAAACAGACTCCTGTACAGGTGGTTCGTATCCCTCGGGTCTTTCTACAACAGCACCCTCTGCCGATACGACAGCTTCAGTGCCTTTGCCACCACCATCACCATGCAATTCCAACAATTTGGACAGATCAAATCGTGGTTTTTTCAAGACCTTAACTTTGCGTATGTAAACATCGTGCAATGGGTAGATCCGCTGGCATTTCTTCTCTATATCCTTAGCAATGGAGTCGAGAGCAAGCTTGTTTACCAACTGCTTTAAGTCTGAGCTGGTTACATCGTTGCTGATGATTTCAGTCATCTTGGAGCGGATGTTACGCACTTGCGATTGTTGAGCATAGCAAGTTTTACGTTGTGATTGTTGGTCCTTGGCGGTGAAGCCAATGCAGAAGACACGTAACATGTAACCGTCAGTGGTCTTTGCCTCAACGATCGCTTCGATGAGGGTTTGCCATTTCTTGACCATGGACCTAAAATAATAAACAAATTGAGATTTAAATTTAAAAAGTATAAAAGTAATGATGGGTGCGGGTGCCTGTACCTTTACAAATGCACTAAATGAATACAAATACCCCTACTGCGAGAGTCAACTAGTAGTAGATACACGATTCTTTAGTCGATTATCCATGGTATTTTCAATGTCGTTTTCTCGTTTAATAAATGTAGAAGAATGAGCGGCGTAATACTATTCACAGTCGCATATTGAACGAGAAATCGACATCCACAGTACAACAGAAAAGCGATTATCGAATATTAGTCGTTTATCTACTACTAGTCAACACTCGCAATAGGGGTGATAAAAAATACCACCTTTTGGGCTTACTGAAAATGTCTACAAACTAATCCCTAAATGGGAACGTAGAGAGCAGTTCCTCAGGGTGCCGTTTGCAGTTAATTTTGTTCTTGGAGCATCGTAGAGACAAAACACAAATTTGTGCGATGTTTCGTCTGAATTATACGTCCGTAAAAAATAAACTATTTAACCTCAATCTTTATAGCGATTCTTTGAGATGCATGAACATATGCACATACAAACACATCTCGCTTCTTCACTTTGGTAATAATCAATAGCCACTTTAAATGCATTTAATTTCTCACCTATACTTATCCGTGGTCAAATCCATACCGTGGAAGTTGCAGAGCACATTGCGGTCCTGAACATCCTCAGCAATCAAGCGGAACTTGCGGAACGAGCGATCAGAATCGTTGTCGCTCTGCAAATCGGCCAGCGATACTTCGAATACACGACCCTTCAAGTAGTCAGAGGCGATTTTCTGGCCTTGGGTGCGGTTTACTAGAGTTTTACCGATCTGGCGGGTCACGAACATGTTTGGCGCTTTTACATCATACCAATCTTTGCGCGAGAAGGGATCCACAACCTTCTTCTTGCCACCTTTTTTACCTCCTTTGGAGAGACCCTTATTTTTACCGACCGCCATCTTCAGAGCTCAAAGCGGAAAAAGATCGAAGCACGTTGACGTCGTAATGTCAAAAAGAGGAAATGCGACATGTTTGCCACTGAAGTGTAACTGCCAATCGTGCTGCCATCGTAATGCAATAATACAAGTATTCTATAGGAGCGTTCCTTTTCTCCCAGAAAGAGTCAGAAAAAGTCCGTAGTTGTCAGATTTAGTCCAAAAAGCGTTCCTTAACTCGAAAATGACAGCAAAAATGAGAGAGCAACACTCAGTGAGAGTGACTCTCTTCAGTCCGAAGTAGTTAGATTTAGTCAGAAGAATTTTTTCGGGCAAAATCCTGAAAAGTGCCAAAATCAACTGAATTTAAATTAACGGAAATTAAAGAATACGCAAAAAGTGAGAATAATCTAAAAAGTGAATTGAAATTGGAAGGAGGCAAAAATTAATTGATATAGTAAGTCCCCTTTCAGACACATCAAGTCTTGCTTTCAAGTCTGCTCGTTCGTTGGCGAGTACAAGAGTACAGATACCTCCGTACCGTCAATTCGTTTCAAGTTTTCTTGTTCTCTTTTGATCTTTTCGTTGCTGCCCATTTAAAAAACCAAGGACTTGAATTCAATAAAACTTGACGCGTGTGGAAGCAAAGAGAAAACACAAAAGAGAATGCGATAAAAATTGCTTTCAAGACTTTACGTGACTGAAAGGGGACTAAGTGTTTATTATGCTTGTGCTTGTGTGAATGTGTTTTGCACATACATTTCCATTCTTATTTGACGTTAGTTTTGTTGTTGCCATTCTTTGGACTAAAAAATTGGTTTTTTGCGTTCCTTTACTTTTCCTTCCTTTCTCTTTTAGTGGGCGCATTTTGCTTACGCTCTGGCATTTTGACACTTTTCAGATTTTAGTCCAAAAAGATAAGGAATGAACCTTATTCCAAAGAACATAACATGGCGCCGAAATTACAAACGTCAGCCAGAAAATTACTTTTTTCTTTTGCTTCATCTTGTCAGATCTTGTGTAGTTGGATCACAAGAATGATTGTTCGCTGCTTCGTGTATTGTGCCAACATGGCAGCACAATAATTTAAAATGTCATAATAGGCAAATCAAAAAATTTGGAAACCGCAGCAAAACAGAATAAAGATAACAGCTACGAAGAATCGTGCAATGAGAAACCGTCACAATACTCCACAAGAAAACTACGAAAGTCAAACGAAAACAAATACGATAGTTTTGCAAAAACTGAGTATTGTAAAAAATTGTGTTTATTTTGTTAAAAGGAGTCAGAAAATAGTTTTTGTGTTGCAAATAAGAGCATACCTTATTCTGACCTCCAACCGGACTAGGCTGAGGACTGGTTAATTTAAAAATGTCACAAAGTGTTGCTCCAATACCACGTCGAAGTGGAGCCGCAGAAACTCCAAGATTCGGCGATGCTACAGAATGGGAAGCACGCGAGGTAAAGAGTTATTCTGTATTTTAGCTATGCATGCATTCCAGTTCTATTCACATATTCATATGTTACTCCTTTCAGGCTCAAAGGCAACGCGAGCTGGACGAAGCAAGGGCCCGAGCTGCCCAAATGGAAAAGACTATGAAATGGTGGTCTGATTGCACAGCCAATTGGCGCGAAAAATGGAGTAAGGTAGGTTTTCTGTACGAGGTTTGCAAATACTTTACCGCTTACCATAGCCACGATTCGTCGTTTATAAACAAATATTTGTTTAATCGATATAAAATTTGTACAGTGCAAATAATATGAGACTCTTCGATACAGGTACGCACCGAACGTAATAAAGCTCGAGAAGAAGCCAAACAGTTGCGCGCCAACCTTGATATGTCTATGAAGGAAGCGAATTCATACAAGCGAGAGAAAAATGATCTCGAGATGCAGATCTCCCAACTTAAAAAGGAAATGGAAAAGGTTCATACACTTATGATGAAGCATGCCGATCAATTTCATAAAGCGGGGTTAGAAAAATAAAATTCGAATGTTTTTTTTTAAATATTGTGTATATTAACATACATATGTATGTATGTACAAATGTACCTATGCCCATATTTATTTGAAATGCATGTTTCCATTTTAGTATGTGCGATGTTTCTGAAGATGCTGAGGCGAATGGACGTGATGCTAACTGCTCGCCAGATATTTCGTCTGATGGTTTAAAAAATGTAAACAGCGAAGATGGATTGGTAATTTTGAATATACTTATGTATACTATATTCAAATAATTTTACTTCTTAAGTATATATGTATATGTGTTTATTATTTAAGGTTACCAAGGCCATTTGCAATGATATGAAAGACTTGGATATTGAAGAATATGTGCTGAAAGGCGCCGTACCGAAAAGTGTTCCTGACATGGGTAGGTTTATGCGGAGTATTTAAATGAAAATCTTTAATGTTGTATATCTACTAAGGTAACAATTTAGATGATGTATTGGCTGAAGAAAAACGTCTAATTCAGCAGCTATCTAAAGACGATTTCGATGAAGATTATTTACTGCAAAAAATCTCCATGCTTCAATTACGTTTAGATGAAGCGCAGAAGACGGTGCAAGCAGAAAGAGAGTGAGTTTGTTTTAAAGCTACATATCGACACCATCAACGCAAACGCCCTATCTAAAATTTTGAAATTTCACATAAGCATATAACTTTTGAAATTAACATAGAAAGGGCTCACAGGGCAGTTTTAAAGATGCTTAAGCTATGCATTTTAGTATGGGGGTGTACTTGGGAAAAAATAAACAGAAGATGTAAAAACACATTTTCAAAAAGTGTCGTATAGGACCTTATGCATTGATTTATATTATTTGTTATGCTTAACTTTTAATCATTATTTAAATTTGCAGAGAAAAAAATATTTTACATAAGACAATCGAAAAGTTAACATTAGAACTACAGGAAGTACGTGAACGTCAAGAAGAGGTGCGTCTTGCTAAGCAGGTGATGACTAATTAAATTAAATAAAATTAAATTCCTTAATTAAATAGCCCAATCGTTTTGCAGGAAGCTGTACGTGAATTACTCACATTACAGGAACAACACCGTGCCGAAATGCGTATAGTAAATAATTCGTTGCAAGAAGAAACTGCGTCCCGCGAAAATCTTGAAAGACGCTTGGCTGAACTTCGTACAGAGGTATATTTTTGGGAGTATAACTAAAAAATCGTTAAAATAAACTAATTTTGAATATTTGTTGCGCAGTTGGAACGGCTACAAGCCGAAAATGCTTCTGAATGGGGTAAACGCGAACGGCTCGAAACCGAAAAACTTGCATTGGAACGCGACAACAAAAAATTACGCGCTGAAGTCCGCGACTACCAAGAGCGTTCCGATCGCAAGGGGCGTCCAATGCAGGCAAGTGATGTTGAAGTGCGTGCGCTTCAACAAGAGCTATCGGAACGAAATAAAGAAATAAGTGAAATAAAACTATCACATTCCAAATTAAAAAAGCTTTTAGCCGAAACTAATACAGAACTGGGACATGCTGTGCGGCGGGCAGAGCAATATGAAGCTGAGGTGAGTACATAAGGCATTTATCATAAAAACTAGGCATTCGGTTCAATACATAAGTATCCCTATAAAATATCTCATGTGATAAAAAAAAAATGTCTAAAACATGTTGTACCCTATGGTTCTAATTTTATTAATCGCTCTAATTGTTTTTGTTAATATTACTGTCTTTCCACTTATTTTATAAAATACAAGACCGTATTAATAAATGCATTTAAATACCAACACAACAGCTTTCGGAAAATATTCTAACTCAAGCATCAGCATAATATGTATTACATGTATTTCAATTATGTATTTCAATTGGCAAACGCTGCTATGCCTGTAATAGCGCGTCCAAGAATAAGCGCATGGATGTCGTGAGTGCCTTCATACGTGTTAACCGCCTCCAAATTCATGCAATGCCGTATAACATGGTATTCATCGGACACTCCGTTTCCGCCCAAAACATCACGCATACTCCGAGCAATATCTAGCGCTTTACCCGAATTATTTCGTTTTATGAGTGAAATCATTTCAGGAGTGTGCAGTTTCTGATCTTTCAGACGACCTACCTGCAAGCATGCTTGTAAACCTAACGCAATATCTGTCAGCGCATCTGCAAATTTCTTTTGTATCAATTGATTAGCGGCTAACGGCCGTTTAAACTGCTTCCGATCCAACGTATACTGCCGCGCTATTCCCAAGCATGCCTCAGCTGCTCCTAGAGCACCCCATGCAATGCCATAGCGTGCATTGTTCAAGCAACCGAAGGGCCCCTTAAAACCCTCCACATTTGGTAAAAGATTTCCTTCCGGCACATGTAAGTCGTCCATCAAGATCATGCCAGTAGTAGAGGCACGCAAAGAGAATTTACCTTCGATTTTGGGTGTAGATAAGCCCTTGCTAGATTGTGACCGATCCACTATGAAACCACGCACTTTGCCATCTTCACCCTTGGCCCAGACAATGATAACATCTGCTATCGGCGAATTTGTGATCCACGTTTTGGAACCATTCAGAATGTATGATTTGCTGGCACTATCATATTTCGCACGGGTTTCCATACCGGCCGGATCACTACCGTGATTTGGTTCGGTTAAACCAAATGCTCCTGTAAACGAAAGCAAATGCAGATATTTTAGTTTTTGTGAAATAAAATGCTAATTTCAAAATGCAATTTAATCTTGCATTTCTGCCATGACTTAAAACCTCTGACACCTCCATTTTTAGGATAACATTAAGAACACAAGAGGATATTGAAGCAGTTAAGCTGCCAATGGCGTAAACATGTTCGCCCGTACTATGTTATTTTTAGCGATCTAAATCTTCTTGTGTACACTCGAAACAATAATCTTAATCTACGTCCGCCGAAGCTTCTTATCAGAAATTTTTAAATATCAGTTTACAAAAGAACAACTATAATATTCCTCTGCACACATTTATTTAAAAAGAAAAAATCGTTTGCTACTTACCAATTATTTTGCCCTGAGCCATACGAGGCAGATAGGTTTCCTTTTGCACAGCAGAGCCATAATCAAAAATAGCTCCCATCGCCAGAGAACTTTGCACGCTCAAGGCA